GGCCCCCGGCTGCCCTGTGAGCTGCATGGCTCCCTGATCAGCTGACCAGAGGCAGGCACTGGGGTGGGGGCAGAGCAGTAGCCCTGGGCCAGCAGGGTCCTTTGCCACCTCCTTGTGATCCGCAGGCTTCAAAGCTGAGTGGCTGGCCGTGAAGGACGAGCGTCTGTACGTGGGCGGCCTGGGCAAGGAGTGGACCACCACCACAGGCGAGGTGGTGAATGAGAACCCCGAGTGGGTGAAGGTGGTGGGCCACAAGGGCAGCGTGGACCACGAGAACTGGGTAGCGAGCTACCACGCCCTGAGGGCCGCTGCTGGCATCCAGCCACCAGGTAAGAGGGTGGTAGATGGCCAGGCAGAGCTCGGGGCAGAGCTCAGGGCAGAGGGGCTCGGGGAGACCAATGCAGAGAGAACATCCAACCTCTGCATCCAGATCGCGCATGCTTCCGTCCCGAGCACACGGATCTGATTTCTTGCTTTGAGACAGAACAGAGTTGCTTTGCTGACTGGCGGCAGCGGTGTTGGGCAGAGGACGACCAAGTAGCTGCATCTCACGGGAGCCGATGCCCTGCTCTCCGGTGGAGCCACTGGGGAGTTTAAACAGCTGACCTTGGGGTTAGCAGCTGGCCTCGTAACCACTGTGCCACCAGGGCTCCCTGGAGTGTTCGCTGGAGCTTGGTCTCTCTGCTGTGTCTGCGGCTTTGGGGGCTGCTGGGGTGATAATAGTTAGCTCTCAGCAAAAGGCCAGCAGTGTGAACTCCCCGGCCACTCTGCAGGACGGTGCAGTCTGCTACTGTACATATACAGCCTCAGGGACCTCGTGGGAGGGTCTCTGCTCCACGTGGCTGCTTTGCGTTGGACGTGGCATGATGAATGGACGCTTACTTGAAGGGTGCTTGAGGCCACTTGGTCCCAGTTTCTTCCCTGCTGAGGAGCTGAGGCCACGCCATGGGAGCGGCTGGGCTGTGTCCACTGTGTGCCAGCCAGCCCTGCCCTGTGTGTCCCGATCTGCATGTGCACGGACAGTACCTGTGCTGACCCCATGCCGTGTGCCCACACTGACCACGTGTGCACGGACTCCCCTGTCTGCCCGTGTGTGTGCCGGCCTGCCTCACCCTCCCGTGTCCTGCACACTGACCATGTAGCACTGACCCCCATGTGCTCTGGTCTTGGACCCTCTTCTGTGTTATGTGCTCTTGTGCACTGACTCATCCACGCCTTGTGCCCACGTGTTCTCTGACCACCTGCACATGTGATGACCGTGTGTGTACCGAGCTGTCTGTGCCCACGTGTTCTCTGACCACGTGAACACTGACCGCCCACACCCTCTGCCTGCCTGTGTGCTGACCCGCATCTGCACTGACCACCTGTGCCCTGTGCCCACTTCTGCACTGGCCCGTGCATGCACTGGCCACTCTCCTCTGTGCCTGAATGTGTGCTGACCGCCTGTCCCCATGCCCATGTGTACACTGACCGCATGCCCCTGTGCCCACTTCCCCCTGCCTCTGTGCCCACTGTCCTATGCCCACTGCCCCCGTGCCCGCAGGCTACCTCATCCACGAGTCGGCCTGCTGGAGCGACACGCTGCACCGCTGGTTCTTCCTGCCACGCCGGGCCAGCCAGGAGCGCTACAGCGAGAAGGAGGACGAGCGCCGGGGCACCAACCTGCTGCTGAGCGCCTCGCCCGACTTCCAGGACGTGTCCGCGCGCCGCGTCGGCGAGCCGGTCCCCACGCACGGCTTCTCCTCCTTCAAGTTCGTGCCCAACACCGACGACCAGATCATCGTGGCCCTCAAGTCCGAGGAGGACAGCGGCAAGGTGGCCACCTACATCATGGCCTTCACGCTGGACGGCCGCTTCCTCCTGCCCGAGACGCGCATCGGCAGCGTCAAGTACGAGGGGGTGGAGTTCATCTGAGCGCGGAAAGGTCGAGACTTCGTGAGAGGTGAAGGCCTGCCCCTTCCTGCGGGCTTGTGCTGTTTCCTTCCTGGGAGGAGGAGGTCCTGGTCGGGAATCTCCAGAATAAGGGTTCAGTCCATCCACGGGCATTCACGTCGGGAGCAGGGCCAAGGGGCCAGGTCGCCTGCGTACTCTGTGGTGGGAGCAGCAGCCGGTCACTGCAGCCGTGCCAGGGCCTCTGCCCCTCAGTTCCGCCTTGTCCTTTAGGCCCTCTGGGTTTCCCTCCCTCCCGTTCGCTCACTGATCAATAAATATTTATCGAGTACCCATACACATCACACCTCCTCCCACCCTGGAGCAGCCGTGAGTCTGAACGGCCTGCCCTGTACTAACTCCCAGGCCGCCCCTTCCCACCCCTTCCCACCTCTGCGGCTGGGATGTTGACAGAATGGTGTGCAGCTGATGTTTACAGGAGGGTGGACCTCAGCCTGAGACTGTGCTGGAAGGCTAAGCCTGGCCCCTACTCCCAGGCTGCCCATGGACACGACCAGTGGCTCTCCCTGAGGAAGGGCCTGGGCTGCCCAGCACTGAGGTGCCTGTGAACACGGGTCAGGAGACTGATCCTCCTTCTGTAACTCCACTGCCTCTTATCACAGGAGCAGAGTCCTGTCGGGAAGGTGCTGGCCCGGGGGGTGCAGACGCCAGCCCGCGTCCTCCTGGGAAGGCCGGTGTCTGCGCGGCGCGAGCCTCGGCCAGCTGGGGCAGAGATCAGCAAACTGCCTTTTCTGTCAGCTCTCAGCAACGGTCATGCCTCTGAAGACTCTCCTGTGACTTGAACTTTGTGTTTCCCCAAGAAAAGTGGCCCCTGCACTGCTGCCCATTCTTGACCCTTGTCCTGGGAGGACACAGCCCTTGTTTATGTGACTAGTGGGCTTTCTGCAGCTGATTGCCCCGGGAAATGTGCCACGTGAGCGGGCTCGTGGCCCTGTTGTCAGAGGGCCTCCTGGTCAGCGACCCTGTTGTCCGTGCTCCCCACTGTCATTCACCTTTGTCGCCTCTGCTCCCCGTGTCAGCTCTCTGTCAGGCACCCGTTGTCTCTGCTGCCACTGCTCCTCGACGGTGGCTGCCTGTTGACAAGAGCCTCTTAGGTCACTGGCCCCCTTCCTTGTTCTCGACCCCGTGGCCGGAGCTTCCTCTCATCCGTGTTCCTCTCGTCATCAGCTCCTGCCGTGGTCCTGTCTTCTCTGGACTCTCCAGGTTAAAAGCAGGGAAAGCTTGGGCCGCAAGGGACACTGTCCTCAGTGCACGGTGCTCAGTGCTCCTCCCTGAAGAAGCTACCTCGTTCTGTGACCCCCGGTGGTGACAGGTGCCACGGGGCTGGGTCAGCCTGGGGCCTTGTGGGCTCTATTCCTCAGACTGTCCCCACTCTGAAACTATCGTAGGACCTTCCTCACAGAGCAGAAGAGACATGCTGCTGAGGGTGGCACCCTGGCCTAGAACTTGCTCTGCTGGGCATCACCCGGCCCAGCCCAGTCTCCTGCTTTGCCCAGCTGGCTGTCCACCCAGCTCTAACTGAGCGTGTTAACAGGAAGCTGTGGATTTAAAACCAGAGCAAGGTGGAGGCCATAGGGCAGGAGAAGACAAGCCGGTCCTGTCACTGGTGTCTGGAGGCAGCTTGGCAGTGTCCTCGGGTACTTTTATTCAGATGTGTCCCCATTTCGTAGCAAGCCCCCTTCTCCCTGCCCTCCGCATTCGCTCCTGTAAGCACCACCTGTGCTCCTGGCCTGTCGGGTCTGTCTGTCTGTGAACAATAAAGTGTCAGAGGCGACGGTGAGCACTCCCACCTCCCAGTCTCTGTGGTTTGTGAAGGATGCTGTCCTTGTGTGTGGGGCAGCTGTGGCTCTCGCACCCCAGTGTGCACAGGCCGCAGAAGTCCACACCCCCCAGGTCAGCTGACAAGGTTGCGGATGCCTATTCATTTTCCGAGGGCCGGGCAGTGAGGTCCAGAGTGAACAAGAAGCCAAGCTCTGCCCGAAGTCTGTGTAGATTCACCCCCTTTCAACTGACTGGCTGCTTGTAGCAGATCTTCCCACAGGATGACATCACCACACGGCCGTCAGACTACCTGCTCACTGGCAAACCAAAGGCCATGCCCTGGTCAGGCCGTCACACCGCCCTGACCGTTGCAGCACAGACGGCCTCAGGGTTCACTTTGTTACTGATCCAAAGAGAGTTCTGAAGAGTGGTGGCGATTAGGTGGAGAGCTGGATGCATGCAGGAGTCAGGAAGGTGTGTGAGTCCCCAGGAAGAGGTGAGGCTTCTCCCACGGTACACAAGCTGATAGGTCCTAAATCAGGAACCACGACGTGGGGCTGGTGAGAGAGTCCACCCAGGGCACGGGGAGAGAGGTGTCCTCCAAGGGGTGGTCTGCACTAGGGGTGGGGAATAGCCCCTCTGAGGAGAGGAATAGGCCTCTCAGAGCTGCCCCTGACCCCGCCAGCTCACTCTCCTGCCCTGCATCCATCGACGACGGGGAGACCTCGTCAGTGCCTGAAAGGAGTCCCCAGTTCCCTCCAGCAGAGCCCCCTCATGGTGTTCTCTCAGGCAGCTCCCTCTGTCCACCAGGGTTCCCCACTCCTGTCCCCTCCAACCCAAGGGGCACTGTCTCCAGGGGCTCACGCTGCTCACCTCTTACCTCTGAATAGTCTCTAGACCTTTCTGAGGCTCGGGCAGTGCTGACTCCCTGGTAAAAAGCCAGAGAATTGGTGCCCCGAGTTACGGTGTTAGCAAAGAATATCGGCTATACCATCGTCAAGAACAAAGACGCCTGTGCTGGAGATGTACCCAGAATGGTCTTAGACACATACTTTGGACACGCTCTCGGAAAGACCGGACCCTGGGGACTCAATGCTTGAAAGTAGAGGATGAACGGGAGAGGGGCCCTTCACGAAGGCGGATCCACCTGACTGCAACAGTGGGCTGCAGTGTCACAGCAAATGAGCGCCTGATGCCCCAGCGGGCAGCCTTCACGTACACAGAGCTGGTGAGAACCGGCCTGGTGGCACCTGAGAGACAGCAGGACGCACCGCCTCACAGCAAAGACAACACCATCGTGCGCTCAAGCTCCCAACACCGGCCCTAATAGTTCTCCATGAGAGGGACAGGGCCGGCAGACACAGGCAGACATGCCGGAGCCAGCAGGGCTGCACACACGGTACAGGCCAGACTGTGGTGGACGTCCAGGGCGGTCAAGGCCGCTTTGCCTCATAGCAACCCTGCGGGCCACAGCACAGAGATGTCTGTACCACAGGGCGTAACCCTGCAGGCCACAGACCTATCACCGTATACAGCAGGGCGTAACCCAGCAGACAGGACAAAAGCCTGCTGAACCCTGCACTGACCTCATTCTCACGCCACTGCCGCAGCCCCCGTCGATCTACCTCACTGAAGGTCCTCTTTTTTTCACTGAGGATAGTACATTTTTTATAAGACTCTATCTAAAGCTACAGGCACCTGAACGGAGAAGCCTGCTGGTGCAGAGCTGAGCAGTCTGCTTCCACTGAGAGCTTGGGCCGTGGCCGCCCTGTGGGGCAGTTCCACGCAGGCCGGCGGGGCCAGCGCGAGTTGGTTTGATACAGTCGGTGAGGTGCTGATGAGCTCAGACAACTCTATGTCGGAGCAAAGGACAGTGACTCCACCTCACGACACCCACAAGACCGCAGACTAGAAGCTGACCCTACAAAGCTCAGAGAAGACAGACTTTGTGACCTCAGGTCAGGGAACGATTTCTTAAGCTACGACCCATGAAGACATCCCCGACCCACGAAGACATCCCCGTTCAAATCCTCTGCTCCTCAAAAGACACTTGGGGAGTGGACTTGGGGAGGGATTATATAACAAATAATTTTACTTTTACTTTTCAAAGAGAAGAGCAAACTGAGGGGGAGTTTGGACAGGGAGAAAAGTACAATGAATGAGTGGAAATCCCAAGTCTCTAAACTTTCATTAAAATTATTTTTTTAAAAAATGCAACAACAACAACAAAAAGAGACTTGGGACGATGAGCAGGAGGCTGGTGGCCTCATAAGGGGGTCAGCGGGGTTTTATTAAGGTTAGTCACTGAGGCCAAGCCCCGGCTGGTGGCGACCCCTCAGGGCGAGGGCCTTTAGTGTTCTGACGAACAGGTGGCATGATGCCAGAGTGCTGACGGCAAGGCCACTGTCCCAGGGGTCACATAGTGGACAGTGAGCTAGCGGCCAACCATGTCTGGTCTCCGAGGAGGCTTTCTGTTTCTGGAATCTGCTAGGAGACTTGTGCAGGCCTCTGGAGGCACACTGCTGACCCGAAGCTGGCACCTCTCAGAGCGGCCTGGAGGGAGGACGGTGGGCAGTCTCCGCCCGTGTGATTGACATCCTGGAGACCCTGGTCGACGGTCAGCTGTAAGCCTGTCTGGTTCCGACTGAGACGCAATGAGAAAGAGTAGGGACTTGTCCCCAGAAAATGCAAAGGGCGCGTACGACTCAGGAGCAAGATGAACAAGTATAAAAATATGTGCAGGATTCAAAGACACTTCACCAACGGAGACAGTCTGCCTGCGAGACCAGGGCTCCTCACGAGTTGAGCCCAGTCCGCAGAGCTCTCACACACACAATCACTGAGGAAACTTGCTAAAATGCGGACCTCGTTCCTGTCCTTCTGGGGTGGCCGTGCACATTTTCAGCAGGAGTTCAAACCTGAACATACTCAACTCTGCATCAGCTGGAGTGCAGCTGGGAACAGAGCTCCCCAGAAGCCTCGCTGGAGCCGGGACGGGGAGCAGCCCCAGGGGCCTGCACTGCCGCCAACCCCAGAGCATCACAAGTCACGTGATACCTAGGAATTGAAACTAGACTTGTTTTCTGAAGCATTTCCTGTACGGCCTGCCCACACTCACATCGGAAGGGTCTCAGACCTGAGGACAGACGCGAAGCGGGGCTCGTGAGGTACAAAGGTTCCAGTTTCCAGGACGGCCACACGCACCACCTGGCGGGTAAGTACCTGCCCCTTCAAGGTTGCTAATCAGTTCACCCAGTCCATACTCCTGCGGAAAATTTCCAGCCACAGACATACTGAATCAGCAGCTCCATTTGGACAGGACTCTGTATCGGGAGTGGAGATGCAAACGCTGGGCAGAGCTTGAACGAAAACAAGCCTTTTCAAACTTGTGGGTCTCACCTTGCTCCGTCCGCTCTGCACGGTGGGGCCAGGCGCTCCGTGCACAGACCTGAGCCCAGGATAACAGACTTCTCCCAGGAGCTCCTCAGGGTCTATGTGTGCAGGAGGGTGGGCTGTCCGCTGCACCAGGCAGGAGGCCCAGCTCGGCCGGCCGTCCACACAGCCAGCCAGAAGTGCGCTTCTGCCCTTCACCATGGGAGCCTCAGCAGGTGGCGGCTGCCTTCCTGCCAAGCACCTGTGTGGATCCCACCACCTGTCCAGGTGGGCACACCATAGGGCCCAGGCTCTCCTGGAAGTGGGAGAGTTCAGGTGCTCCTGCTGGGAACAAGATAAAAAATATGTGCAAGATCTGAATAGACACTTCACCAAAGAAGACTAATGGGTGACGAGTAAGCCTTTGGATAGACAGTCAACACACCAGTCGCTACAGACACGGGGAGACCCTAGGACGTGCCCACTGAATTAAACCCACTGACGTCGGGTGGCTCCACACAGGCTCCGGGGCAGGGTGTATTGCTGTGGCCCTCCCACGCCTTCTCCCTTTACCCCCAGGCTTGGACCTTGTCACCGTGCTCAGCGGGGCCCCCAGTGGCTAATCCTGGGCTGCAGGAGCAGTGTTGGAGGACTCCATTGACTAGTCCTGAGCCACCCTGTTCACACACAGCTGTATGGAGGGGACGCAGGGAGGGTGTAGAGACACGCGTAACAGGTCACTGAAGCTGAAGGCTGACAGCTGGTGGAACAAGAGTGGAGAAGAATGCAGAGGCCACAATCAGGGCCCCACCAGCTGGTCCCACCAGCTGTGTCCTGGCCACCCAACTTCCCCAAGCCTCAGTGTGGGTTTCCTGAGATGAGACTCGGGCAGCAGGGCTGTGTCAGTGCAAGCCACTCTCTGTTCCTCCACCCTGTGCCCCCCCAGGGGTTCCCATTTCAGCCCCCCACCCCTATCTACACCAGGCCCCACTGCCCAGGCAAGCTGAGACACTCTCAGGTGACCAGTAAACACCAGGAAGGCATGAGCTGGTGGTGTGATGGGTAGAGGTGTTACCCTGCTGACCCTGAAGGCCAGCAGTGCGAGCCCAGCTGGACAACACCAGGCCGCCTGTCTCACAGAGACTCCCAGTGGAGACTCACTGTGAGTCAGAGTCGACTGGACAGAATTAGGAAAATGCTCAGAAGGTGGGAAGGGGAAGGACACATAGAAGCAGGAAGCACAGGAAGGGAGAGGGGAGAGTGCTGCTCCGGTGTGGGGACTGCAGACTATGGACGAACTGTTGTTGTGTTGTTGTTGTTATGTGCCATCGAGTCATTTGCGACTCATAGCGACCCTGTGTACAACAGCCCTAAACCCTGCTCTAGCCTGTGCCAATCGCACTGTCTCTGACACATCCATCCCGATTACCCCAGTCACTGAATCAATCCACCTCATAGAGGGCCTTCCCCTCCTGCGCTGTCCCTTCACCCTCCCAAGCATGATGTCCTTCTCCAAGGACCTGTCCCTCCTTACAACATGTCCAAAGTATGTCAGATGAAGCCTCAGAATCCTTGCCTCCAAGGAGCAGCCTGATTTAACCCTCTTTAGGATAAATCTGTTTGTTTTCTTGGCAGTCCATGGTACATTCAATACTCTTCTCCAGCACCACAGCTCAAAGGCGTCAATTCTTCTATCCTCCCTAGTCATTGTCCAACTCTCTGAAGCATAACAAGTGATTGCAAAGACCATAGCCTGTATCAGGCGCACCTTAGTCTCCAGAGAGACACCGTTGCTCTTGAGTACTTTAGAGAAGTCCCTAACAGCAGACTTTCCCATCGCAATACGTTTCTAGTGAGTGGAAAATTAAGTGGTCCTGCTAACATGCACCCAAAACACCTTAAGAGTTTAAACAGAAGGAAAGGTACAGCCACAGCCATGGTCCCGCTTCTCTGGCACCTCCATTCAGCATCTCAGCTGATACCCTCCGCTGCCTGCCTGTCTCTTGCCTGGACCTCAGGGTACCTGCCCCACCGGGTCCCCTCCCACCCACCCCACACATGGCAGCAGAGGCAATCTTCAGACAAAGCCCTCCCCACGAATAAGGCCCACCAGCCCCTCCTCATCTGGGCTGCAGACCCACACCCCCTCCTCCAGCCTCCTCACCCAGCACCACCTGGCAGCCACGTGCAGCCCTGAGGTGTGAGATCCCTGCTGTGCAGACCCCTCAGCCTGGCCCTTCTCCTGAGCAGACATTACACCCCTCGGAGCCAGCCCCCTGGATGGGCGGAGGGCGCTGCGGGGGTTTGCCACACTCAGCCACGCAGCGGGTCACAGACCCAGCTCCACCCAGCCTGCCACGGCCCTGGAGGTGGGGTCTGCAGTGAGCTCTGCCCAGTGACCCCGGCAGATGGGGCCTGCAAGGCGGTCCCTGCTCTGACAACCCTCACCTCGGCACCCCCTTCGGCAGGATCAAGCCTCAGGCAGCATGGCCCTGTCCCTGCTCCTCTGGACGTGTCTGCTGGTCGCAGAGAGCCACGGTGAGAAAGTGCAGGGGAGAGAGCCGCACCTCCTCGCTCAGCGGCCACACCCCCACCCTCCAGAAATGCCCCCCACGTCCTTGGCCCCTGCTCTCCCTCATACTAGAGGCTCGGTTATCCCCAGAGATGAAGGCTGATGGGTTCTGGGGAGTCTGGGTCTCCACTAGTTCTCAGCATCCCTTCAGTGTCCTTCCCTGGACCCCAGGAAGAAGAGCCTCTCTGTGCGGCAGTCCCCAGGCTGTACACCCCACCCTGTCAAACCACCACGAATAGTGTCCTCCCTTCTCCCCTCCACACCCCGAGTGCTGGCCTACAAGGTTCTCTATCGGCGTGGGGAGACCCCAGAGACAGGCTGCTTTCCCAGGCTGAAATCTCCCCTCCGTGCATAACAGACAGGGCTTCCACATGGAGAATACAGTCAGGCTTCTGCCCCAGATGGACAGAGCTTCCCACCCCCAGAAGGCATGTGCCCTGAGTGGTGGGCAGCGGCGGCTCCCCTGAGGCAGCCCAGCTGATCTCCGAGTCCCTCGCCCTTCGAGCCTGCAGGACTGGAGGACGGCGACATGAGGCTGGTGGACGGGGACGCACCCAACAAGGGCCGAGTGGAGATCTTCTACAGAGGCCAGTGGGGGACCGTGTGTGACAACGGCTGGGACCTGGTGGATGCCAGCGTGGTGTGCCGTGCCCTGGGCTTCCAGAATGCCACCCAAGCTCTGGACAATGCTGCCTTTGGGCCAGGTAGGTTCTCCAGAGCCAAACCTGCAGGTCCCCCAGGAGAACACAGGGCAGGTGAATGTCCTCAGCAGGCCCCACCCACCAGAGACAGGTTTTGAAGAGCCCAGCTGATGCCAAGGGCTTCAGCACTTCAGTCCTGGATTCTCCCTGGACACCCGGGGGATTTACCTCCTTGAAGCCATTCCCTGAGGGAACAGCCCTTCCCCACGGACATGTGTGGAGGGTTCCACACCACTTATGTGTCGTCCTGGGAAACCAGAAATGGTCACCGGCAACAGGGACGGGGAACAGTGGCATCAGTTATGGTACATTCAGTAGAGGTGGTGTCTGAAGGGACCCGATGGTACAAAGGGTTAAGCTCTCAGCTGATAAACACAAAGTTGTTGGTTCAGACCTCCCCAGGGTGCGGAGGGGAAAGGCCTGGAAACCTGCTTCCTTAGGAAGGGAGGTGGTAGTGCCGTCACGTCAGCTCCTGTGCACAGACTAGGAAACCCCACGAGCTGTTCCCGCTCCACACGGGGGTCCCTATGCCTTGAAAATGGTACGGTATCGCTCCCCAATAACGGTGACAACGGTCAGATGTCCACTGTGCAGTCATTAGACTTTATACAGGTGGAGGCCAAGTTCGGGCCGAATGTTAGGATAATAATCAGAACCCTATTGGCTGTGACTGTACCTGGTAGAAGGTTCGTGTGAGCGTACGTGAATCTTCAGAGCAGCATTAGCCTCAAGAGTCGAAAGGTACAAACACCCCAACACCTGTCAGCGGCCCAACGGCGCGGTACTGGGTGGTACCGAGAGCCCCAATGGCACCATGTCGCTGTGTGTATGTGCAGAGAAAGATTCTTTATTATTATTCATTTTAATGAAAGTTTACAGAGACTTAGGGTTTCCAGTCATTCTTTGTTGCACTTTTCTCCCTGCCCTGCTCCCCCCAATACACTCTTCTCCTTGAAAAGTAAAAGAAAGTCTTTCATTGTCATACAATCCCTCCCCTCAAGTCCACTCCACTGTGCAGCCTTCCTTCTGGACTCCTGTCGTGACAATCATAACTAATCACACATCCCTTTTAAACAGTTCTCTCCCTCATCTGTTTCAATGCAGTACAGATCATTCCTCCCCTCCTCCTCTGCCTTCCCTCAACCCTGATGTCAGTCAGTTTTACAACAGTGGCCCTATGCAATATTTGTCCTTTTGTGACTGAGATATTTCACTCGGCATAATGTCCTCCAGGGGTACCCATTTTGTATAATATTGTATGAGTTCCTTCTTTTTCAACACTGCATAGTATTCCATTGTGTGAATATACCACAGCTTCTCTATCCATTTGTTGATGGGCACTTGGGTTGTTTCCAGCTCTTTGCTATTGCAAACAAAGCCACAATAAACATGGGTGTGCATATAACAGAGATGTATTCTATTGCATGCAACAGCATGGGGCCTTAAAAACCCTCTGAGATAAGTCAGCACAAAAGCTGACAGACAGGAAGTGGAGCTGCGGTTACAGGAGCTGGGGGTAGGTGGAGGGGGCCATTCTTGCTGAGGAGGCTAGGTGAGCTTCCGTTTCGATAGGTTTTGAGAATAGATGGTGGTGATGGGTGGCTGCCGTTCATACCACTGACAGGGCCACTTAAAAATGGCTGTTGTTCATTGTTAAGCATGGTTCGAGTCTGTGCTACATACATCTTACCAAGGAGCACTGGTGGCACTGTGGTTTAAACAGAGGGATGTGAATCAAAAGACGGAGGGCCGTTTGAGGCCACCAGCCACGCGCTGTGGGAGAAGGGTGGTGGGGGAGTCCACAGCCGTAAAGGTTGGCACTCACTGGGCGTCTGAGGGCCTTGGCGGTAGAGTGTGGCTTTGGTTCCTGTGTTCTGGTTATAGTTCTCCAAAGACACCTTTTTATTTTCATTCTTTACATTTTTTAAAAATTGAGATTTGAGTGGCTGTTTATGAAGCAAATGGGTTTTCCATTTCGCCATTCGTAGGTTTATAACTTCAGCTACGACGAGGTCCTTTATAGAAGCACCTGCAAAGGGGTGTGGTGGAGGCGGGTGTGGAGCCCTGAGCGGTTGTAACGGACCTTGGACCTTCGGGCCGCAGGGCTGGGGTCCCCTCTCTGCAGGGAGCATGAGGCCCCCAGCCCCCTGCGGCCCTCTCTGTGTCCACAGGGTCAGGCCCCGTCATGCTGAGCGAGGTGAGGTGTGCAGGCACTGAATTGTCGCTGGCCGACTGCAAGTCCCCGGGCTGGATGCAAAGTGCCTGTCAACACAGGGACGACGCGGGCGTGGTCTGCGCCAATGGTGAGTACCCGGCCAGCCGGAGGTGCCAGGCCTGCGCCCCCAGCCCTTCTGAGCGACCCGGGAGCCCTGGCATTCACCCTGGCCGCTAAGCTGTCTGCCCGGAGGTGGGGGTGAGGCGAGGCCTGGCAGCGATCTGGGTTTTGTGTGCGCGTTCGTCCTGGCACCTCAGGACCGGCTCTAGGAAAGCGGAAGTAACCTCCAAGCACACAGACCCGCGGGCAGAGGAAACGGCCATGAGCCCGTGTCCCCTCCCCACACAGAAACCATAAGTGAACCTGTGCACACCCTGGACCTCTCCGGAGAGCTGGAGCAGGCACTCCATGGGATCTTCGACAGCCAGCAGGGCTGTGACCTGTCCATCCGGGTGCAGGCCGGCGGGGAGGAGGCCCTCAGCATGTGCGCACACACGCTCATCCTGTCCACCAACCCCGAGGCCCAGGCTCTGCTGCGGGGGCCAGGCGGTACTGTCACCATGGAGGTGGAGGCCGAGTGCGTGCCTGTGGTCACCGACTTCATCGGGTGAGTCGTTCTGGAGACTTCACTGCAGACAGTGCCCGCAGCTCCTCAGTCCTCCACTTCAGAGTACGGCCGCAGGGGGGCCCCGGCCACAGCAGTGCCCATCCACACACATCACGTGTACACACTCGTGACGCCCCACACATATGAGACACCACACGCTCTCAGCAACACGCATCACACCACACAGATGTGACATCACGTGGACACACACACGACATGCAGGTATGTGACATGACAGCACACAGCTCCCATCTGTGACATCATGGGTACATGGACACACACGCCCGTGATGCAGATCTGACCACAATACACACACATCACTTCACATATATGCATGCATACCTGACACAGGTGCACACCTCACTGACGCACACACCTCACATCACCTGTGTATACACACAGGACTCACGCCACACACCCCACACACGGACACACTCATATCACATACACGCATCACACCACACACATGCACAGCACACACACATCACGTCACACACGTCACACCATGGACACATTGCATCTCGGCGTCTGTTACATTTTAAAAGTCACACTGACAATTAAGACCAGATTAAGGCGGCTTTGTCTTGGCCTAGCACAAGCCTTGGATGGTGTCCCTGCTCCTTGTGGGCATGGTCAGGACATTTGAGGGTGACCAGCAGGTGCCCAGGTGGGGTCATTGTCATCCACAAAAACCCAGTGTTTCTTTGGAGGGCGTGAGTGTCTGTAACAAATGACCACCAGCCACGCAGTGGGCCCTCTCCCCGTCTGCGTCCCAGATGTCAGCACCGAGTGTGGACAGCACCGAGTGTGGACAGCACTGAGTGTGGACAGCACCGAGTGTGGACAGGGTTAGGGTTAGGCTCCTGGGAAGACTGTCCTTGCCCTTCCGCCCCTGGTGGCCTTGGGATCTGTGACACAACTTGTCTCGCAGACTCATCACTCAGTCCCCACCAGTCATCATCCCACAGTCATCTCCCTTCATCTCTTCTCTCTCCTCTTCCTGAAAGAATGCCAGTTCATGGTCAGCAGGGCCCACCTGCCCCAGGTGACCACATGCCAACAGGTGACACCTGCAAAGACCCTGTATCCAAACCAGACGACGGACACAGGGACCTGGAGTGAGGGCTCTTGTGGGGAGGCACCGTTCACCCCATAACAAGTCCTGTCCCTAGGACACGCACACTGATTCCCACACGCTCACGCGCACACATGGGCATGCAGGCGCACGCATGCACACTCACACGCCTGCATCCCACACAACCACGCGGCACTCACGCATTTCCTCAAGGCACTGCACACACCTCAGGTACATGCACACATGCAGACGCCCACGTACACTCAGATGTACACACGTGAGCCTCCGCAACACACACTCGCGTGCACCCCCCCCCGTAGGCACAGTCACAAACACATACTTTCTCTAATACTCTCTCTCTCTCTCTCTCTCTCTCAGAAACCCTTGTTCACAACATTCACATGCAAACACACACAGAGACACCCCCCCAAAGGTGAAGCTGAGGGCATGTGGAGCCTGAACCCTGAACACCTTGGGAAGTGGCATCGTCTTCCCCCTCCCCCTGCCCCGGCACTAGTCCTCATGCAGGTGGACGTGTCCTCCTGGACGTGTCTCTATGGATGTGGACGTGTCCCCCGCACATGTCTGGTCGCATCAGGACCCCTGCCCCTCCCCACAGGTACCTGTACTCCCGCAGACTGGACGTGACCTCATCTACAGTGAAATGCTTCCACCAGCTCGCCTCCACCTACGAGGCCCCATGGCTGCGGGACTACTGCGCCCGCCTCTTCACCACCCTCCTCCCCCAGGACCCCTCCTTCCGGACGCCCCTGCAGCTCCACGCCTACGCGCTGACCACCCACGACGCCCTGCTGGAGTCGCTCTGCGTGCGGTTCCTGGCCTGGAACTTCGAGGCGCTGACGCAGACCGACGCCTGGGCCACCGTGCCCCTGCCCCTGCTGCGCACGCTACTCTCCAGCAGTGAACTGGCCGTGTCCAGCGAGCTGGCCCTGCTGAAGGCCATCGACGCCTGGAGCCAGGGGGCCAGTGCCTCGCACGCGGAGCTGGGGGCGCTGCTGGAGGAGGTCCGCTTCCCCATGATCCCGCCCTCGGAGCTCTTCCAGCTGCAGTTCAACGTGTCTCTGCTGCAGGCGCACGAGGCCTTGCTCCACAGGCAGATGCTGCAGGCCCTGGAGTTCCACACGGTGCCCTGCGGGCTGCTGGCCCAGCACCGGGCCCTGAACCTCACCCAGCCCGCCTTCCAGCCCCGGCGGCTTTACACGTCCCCCACCTGGAGCGGCTCCCTCAGGAACAACCTCTCCGGTTCCCGGCGGTCCAATTACCCTTATGAGTACAACACAAGATCCTACTACTCTCAGTCTTTCAAGACCCCCCAGCACCCCAGCTTCCTCTTCCAGTCCACACGCCTCTCCTGGTCATTGTTCCTCCTGCCCACCGTCCAGAGCTGCTGGAACTATGGCTTCTCCTGCAGCGCCTCCGACGTGCCCGCCCTGGGCCTGACCAGGTCCGGCTACCCTGACTCAGCCATCCGCTACGAGAACAAAGCCCTCATGCTCTGCAGCAGTGGCCTGGCGGTCGCCGTCACTGACTTCGAGGGCCAGAAGGCCCCACTGCCCAGGGCCCTGAGCGTCAATGGCTCCAGGGACGCACCCCTCTTCCCCTGTCCACAGGGTTCCTTCAGCAGCTTCCGCGCTGTCATCCGGCCCGTCTACCTGACCAACTCCTCCAGCGTCCAGTAGCAGGCGGCTGGCAAGGAGGCCAGGCCCTGCCCAGAGACGGCCAGCTGCTGCCACCTCCACAGTTGGCCGCCAGGTGTCTCCCCTTATCAGTCTCCAGCACAGGGAACCGGCTTGAATGCGAGCTCTCTGCAGGGGCTACCAGCTGTCTCCCCCTCCCGCCATCCAGCCAGCTTCAGGCCCAGAAGCAGCAAAACCTTTGCACTGAGCTTGTTCCGGGCTCTCCCGCCTGCCACCGTCCACTGTCTGATCATTAAAGTCACCCGTGGGGCTTTGCCCTTTGCACAGAAAGCCTCAGTGCTGTAATCACTGCTGCGTTCCGGCGTGGGGCTGCAGGGCTCTGGGGTGCCAGTGGGAGACAGACTGGCTCACACGTGGGGCTCGGGTCTCCTAACAGGTCAGGAATTGTGCTCCTGACCCCGAAACAGCACCCTCCTGAGGTTCCCACCCACGAGCTGCTCTGAGGAGGACAGGCCACCTTCTTCTGTGAGATGTACAGATTCTCCAAAACACTGGAGCGTTGGAGGGTCAGCCACGAGCGGGCCCCGACTCCTTGGCAACGACACCCCAAACAGGAAGGAACACAGATACGTGAAGATGTATTCAACTTCATAATAAGCAAACCAAGCTCACCGTCGTCCAGCTGATACTGAATCACAGCAATCAGATCTAATTATCCACAGAGCAGCTGGGGGCGTCAAGGCCCAGCTTTTTGGTTGACAGCCTACTGATTCTGCACTAATAGTAACAGTGTCTGATGCACCTGTCAGACGTGCCCCTTTTGCTGTCTCTGACCACTGTATGTGGCTTGAGCTTTTAATACGCTAGACTTTTTGGAGGGAGCTCTGGTGTCCTAGTGGTAAGAAGCTGCACTGCAATCCCAGAGGAATGCAGTTCGGATCCCCCAGCTGCTCCATGGGAAAAAGATGGGCCAGAGGGTTAGCTCCGGGTCGGTTCCAACTCTACAGAACACAACAACATACAGCAGGCTTTCTGGAGCTCTGGTGGCTTAGTGGTAAGGAATTGCACAGCCAACTCAAAGGTACGGAGTTCCAAACCACCATTGCTCTGTGCAAGAAGGATGGACAATCTCCTCCCATTCGATTTCTTGCCTCTTAAAACCTGCTGGAGGACCAGCTATGAGTTGGTTTCAACTGGGCAGTACACAGCACCAGCAGGTTTCATGGGCCGTGGGCTTCCTGCTTCAGTTACCTCGACTCGAGCCATTTGCCATGGAGTCAGAAGCCACTCAGAGCCAACACTCCAGCAGGTGGTTTGAGCTGGTGCATTGCATGTGACGTCATTGCCCTTCTTTCCCCAGCTGAGCCACTGGGGGGGTCTGAGCCGCAGAGAGGCACCACCTTTGAGTTTACGGTTCAATTCCCTTCACTCTCCACCACCAAATTGGCCTCCAGACATCTAGAACTGCTGGGACACAACTCCCAGCAAATGCTTCAACACACAAAAATCTGTCCTTCTAAAGTCAGACGCCATCCTATTCTATTATCCTAAATATATCCTTCTAAAGTCTCTTGTTAGACCCCATCCGTCAAGTTGAGTATGACTCGCCGCGACTCTGTGAACAACAGCCCTGAGCCCTGTCCTGTGTCACTTTCATCTCTGACATGCTGCTTTCTTTTTTTATCTCTGACATGCTTGAACCCTGGCTGCGGTCACTGCGTCATCAGTCCATCTGGTTGAGGGTCTTCCTCCCTTTCACCGACCCTCCACCTTTCCAAGCATGATGTCCCTCTCCAAGGAACAGCCTCTCCCTGCAACGTGCCCATAGTGTGTGAGACAAAGCTTTGTCATCTCTTTCTCCAAGGAGCACTCTGGCTGCATCTTCTCTAAGACGTGTCTGTTCTTTTGTCAGTTTCTAGGATATTTGTCACTCTCTTCCAACACTGCAGTTCAAAGGCATCAATTCTTCTGTCATCTTTATTTATTGTCCAGCTCTCAGATGCATAACAAGTGATTCAAAAGACCACGATCTGACTTCCAACTGCTGACACTGTTGTTCATTAGTTTGGAGAGGTCCCTGATTGCTGGCTTTCCCAGTGCAATACATCTCCTGCTCTCCTGACTACTAATACCATGGGTGTTGATTGTGGATCCAAATAAGACGAAATTATCGACAGTTAAAATCTTTTCTCCATCTATGACCTTAGGAGACTACAGGTCCTGATTCAGGATACCAGCTGTCGGGAAGGGCCCTGTGTGTGGACTGTGGAGGACAGTCCTTCAGCACCTGTAGGCCAATGACCTTTGGGGACCCCAGGCGTCCTGGCTGTGCTAGGAGTCATGGTGCTTCTTCTTCTCAAAGGAGCCCAGTCCAAAAAAGACACACCCTACTCTCATGGCATGGAGGTCTCCCCACTCAGCTGCTTTTCCTCCCCTTTAAACTCCGGGGAGATAAAACAGAGGTTACACCCCAGGGAGAGTCCACAAGGGCCTGGCTGGGGTCAGGGAGTGCTGCGTTCCACCCGCAGTCCTCTCACAACTATTTGTTTATCAGGAGATCATCGCATAGCTTCCACATGATATCACTGCAAAACAGGAACCTCACACTCCTTGCTGTTGGGTCAGGACTCGTAGTGGACTCCCCGGTTGTTTTTGGAGGTAGCCCACCTTTCTCTTGAGCCGCTGGTGGGTTCAAACTAGCAGAGAGGTACAGCCTCCGGGTTAACTCTGTCACCAAAGCCCCTTGTCTTAACTACAAACAGTTATCAGGGGGTCGGGCACGATGCCATCGATGACCATCCTAACTGAGGGTTATGCATCAGCGGCCATTGGGGCCCCAGGAACTGCCTGCACTCAAAGCACCAGGCGATCGAGTCCTGGCTCAGAGACGCCGATGGTCAGCTGGTTGAAGGCACGCCGCAGCCGGGAGGGCAGGACATTTGGTTGTTTCTGCAATAAAGGAATGTTCGTGTAAGTCATGATCAGGAACTCCATCTGCGGCCTTGGACACAACAGCTGCTTCCACACTGTGACTGGCCCCCATCGGGCGTGCAGATGACCAGGGGGAGGCCTGTGGACCCCTGTCCGCCTGTGCAGCTCATTACTTGTTCATATGTAGCAATTTGCTAACCCACCTATGATATCCCAGAATTATTCACAATAGCAAACGATAACCCCGGTGCCCATCGGGGGGTGAACGGATAACCAACCTGATACCTGAGCACAGTGGGATCCAGGAGACACACCTAATCTGATGACCCTGGATGACATTATGCTAAGAGGAAAAAGTCACTCTATGGTCAAATGTCACGAGACCACTACGGTGGAACGTGCCTCACTAGGTGGACGATACCGGTGCTAAATGACGAGTCAGGGCTTCAAATCCACCAGTTGCTCTGCGGAAGGCTGGCGGGCAGGCTCTCGCGTGGGAGTCAAGGCACATTTGCTCCACACGCAGCATCATTTCATTTCTGGAATGCTGCAAATGTGGATGTTGATTGTGGACTCAAGAAAAACGAAACCCAGTCTGCTCTCCACCGTGATGGGCTCCTGGTCCGGTTGCAGGGTTTGGGTTTTTTTGTTGTTTTTTGTTGTGTGTACCATCAAATCAGATCTGACTGGTACAGGAGGAGATTGTTCCTCCTTCTCCAGCAGAGCATCTGGTGGATTCGAACCGCTTGCCTCTGGGATTGCAGTGCAGCTTCTTGCCACTAGGCCACCGGAGCTCGATGGGGTTTGTTTTCTTTATGCTGAGATGTGATTTACTCTGAAGGCTGAGTTCTGTCCCCAGAGACTCAGCCCCCATGGACTGCAGCCCTCTGATCTACGTGGGGTCACTGTAAGTCTAGGGTGACAGGACCTGGCCAGCAAGGACACCTGCCTCTGGGAGGTGGACAATTCAGGTGACCCTTCAACAACGAAGACATTTGTGATCCCTAGGGCAGCAACATCTGTGTAAGTGCAGCCCCGTCTGCTCTAGGCTGAGGCCACAGTCTCGTGGGGACCTCCTGTAACCCCTGGAAATAGCTAGGCTTCTGCGTGGCTTCTGTGCCCCTCACCCACGGGGCCCGGGGAAGGTGCCGCCCTGGTCCTTGGGAGGAGCTGGACAGATGTGGCTGCAATGGACCTCCAGGAATGCGGGGCAAAGCCTTTGCCTGGAGCCAGGCACTCAGAAGTTGCAAAACTGGAAAAGGAATGCAGCATCCTCCCCCGGTCCGTCCCCACGTCACTGCCTGGCCCTGGACTGGCTTCTGTCTACACATCCAGGAGTGTCAGATGTGCGGCCACGCAGCCAGTTCAGGGGCATGTGAGGGCCTGTCAGACAGAGCTTGGGGACAGGGTAAGGGGCTTGTGAAGGTGCCCAGCAGGTTAGCCAAGTGGTTGGGTGGGGCGTGTCATTGTGGTTGTGAGCTGTGGTAACGTCAGCCGCAGCTCACCGTGACCCACATACAGCTGAGACAATGCCCATCAGCCCACGGCTGATGAAAAACCACAGGGTTTTCTTGGACTGACTTTCAGAAGCTGATTGCCAGGCCTTTCTTCCTAGTCTTAGACTGGAAACTCTGCTGAAACCTGCTTGTCTCCTAGCAACAGGCAAGTCTCCACTGACGGGCGGGCAGTGGCTGTGCATGAGGGGCGTTTACAGGAATCAAAACTGGGTCTTCTGCACAGGAGGAGGTGGGAGCGGCCGTCAGGACACAGGGGAGGCAGCAAGAGGCACTATGTGGGGGCTGGCGAGCTGGAGCCTAGAGCCCAGAGGGACACAGACCCGGAGCTGGGCTGTGATGGAGAGGGGTAGGCATCTGGAGACCGTGGGGGGAGATTAAGGGTGCTGGCAAGGGGGCAGGAGGTTGTGGTTTGGGCTAATCCAGTTAAGCAGCCCAGCTTTACGAGCAGCTACGTGCTTGGCGGGAAAGTTCTTGCCAGAAGGCAGGAGCGTGGTGGTGTGAGCGCAGGAATCGTGGCAAGCTTTTGGAGTCGACTGCTTTTCCGGGCATGTGTTTGATGTGCAGGTGGTATAGCGCTGGTCTGGGCGTTGCTGT